TCCGTCGGGTGCATGGCCACAACCTGAAGCTGTACCTCAAGAGCGACGTGGATCCTCTCTTGAAGGCACCTGTTCCTGCACCGCCCTGAGTATCCACCATGGGCGTCCAGCTAAAAGACGGTAAAGAAGAGCTTGTGGGGAGGCAACCCCACCACGGTTTGACTTTCTTTCTTGTGTTTTGAGTCGGATTGTAAACCAGTTTTGTTTTGGTTTGTTTTCTTTTGTTTTGGATGATGTCTTATTGGGCTGACATTGGACCTAACATATTGTGTTTGAGCTCTTTGGTTTCCTCTAGCTGTGCTTGGCTTGATTGGTCCTCTCTCCAGTCCGCTTCACTCCGACTGGTCCGCTTCCAGTCCCCTACAGTCCGTGCATACCGGTAACATCGTTCCCCTTTCCCTTCCCTCTTCTCCATTGAGGGCAATGTCGATCTTAAGTGTGGGGGGATGTTTATCTTTAACTGCATTAGATCTGTTTGTGTACTTGGAGCCTAGTCCACTGTCCACATTTTTAAATTTGAGGGCTCCAAGTACGTGTTTCCTTGCAATTGCCTGCTCAGTATGCTTTGAATTGACAGTCTTTATAGTAATATGCAACCTAGGGAGGTAGTGTAGCACTATGGAGGATGTTGATGCATTTAAGAAATCTCATTTCTTCTTCATATTGTGTTGGTTGATTGAGTGAATTAGTGATCTTAGGACCCTTGAATTGTGTGATGTTGTGGATTTTCTACCTGTCATGGACTCTTTTGTCATGTTTTGAAAATAACAGGTGCTCGAAAATGTGCTTCCAAATAAACGTCTCCCGTGCGAATAGGGCGAAAGTGTGTAAGGGGAGACGGGAATTCGTTCCCAATTTCCACCTACTACCTCCAGCCCCCTTACATGTCTTTCCCCCGCACGAGGCTCGAGACATCCGCTCCTGGCATGGCCGGTAAGAGCAGGTTGGGACCCTTGAAAAAGAAAAGAAAAATATCAGAAAACAAGCAAAACAGGAAAAAAGGGGGTTCCAACCATCTTTAAGCAGAAAATAGAGCACCTTGAAAAAATGTGAGTCCATGGTCTTTTGTTTTTGAGAATCTCTCCATCCACAATTCATTTCTGCTCTGTTCATTGTTTGCCATGATGCTGACTCGCCGAAGAAGCTATGAGATGACTTGTGCGTCGGTTGACCTCGTAAGTTGCTAAATGATCTAGGAAGTCCTCTATCTACGATCTGGGTTGTTTGTTGCTATAGAGGTCTGGAGAGTTGCATTGGTTTGAGTTAGGTTTGCTTGGGGACAAGCAAACGGTTAAGTGTGGGGGAATTTGATAACGATGTAATTGCACATATTTGCACCCCTAGTTCTTATCCGTCTGAGGGGCATAGTCGTGTATTTTTGGCCTATTTTACGCCAGGTTGTGCTATTTTGTCATATTTCAGGTCCCAGGCGTCAAAGGAAAGGCTAAGCACGAGTTTTGGGGCATTCGGAAGTCATTTCGGTGAGCTGGAGCCAAAACACGGGCACACCTAAAACAGAACACGGCCGTGTTCTGTGACCGTGCTTTTACGGCCGAGAGCTAATTCGAGTTTGGACCACATTGGCCAAAACACGGGCAGGGCTGAGATAGAACACGGGCGTGCTTCACCAAAGCACGGCCGTGTTCTCCCAAAGCACGGGCGTGTTCTACCAAAGCACGGGCGTGTTCTCCCAAAGCACGGGCGTGTTCTACTAAAGCACGGGCGTGTTCTCCCAAAGCACGGCCGTGTTTGCACCAACACAATGGCCGTGTAATTAACCCTAGCCAAAGCACGGGCGGGCTGAGGCAAAGCACGGCCGTGCCCTCGACCGTGCTTTGGCCACTGATGCTTTTAAGCAGATTTTCAGCCACAAGTCAAGGGGATTCGAGTTTTTGAGAGATAGAACGACTTCTAGAGAGAGAAAGTGACGAGCAAGAGTTCCCAAGCGCCCTAGATTGATCTTCAACACCATTGGAGGCCAGCTTGAGCTTGGAGAAGTGCCAATCAACGTCCAGAAGCAGGAATCCATCCTTCGCAGTATGAATTCCGTGTCTGATTCTGCTTTTGCTTTCTTCTCCATGGAGTAGTTCTCCCTTTCATCTGGGTATGGAGAACCCTAGATTTGTATGTTAGGCTTTGATTGTATGAACCCAAGTACTGATTCTGTGATTGATTATATTCGATTGAGGTTTTAATGATTGAATGACTTGAATCCTGATCAAATTCCTGTTGTTTCTGCTTTAACCTAGAATGAGAATATCTGCCTAGGTTGATAGAGCACCCTTGATTGAAGGTAGGGAGTTGGTGACTTTAGTCGAGGAGCCAACTCACTATTCTGTACCGGATTTACTCCGGTAGTGGAGGTTTTGTTCTTAGGGCCTCAATCTGTCTACTCCGGTGGAGGTTAGTCGCCCGCTAGAGATTCAGATTGAGAGGGTCTGAAGACCTTTAGTCGAGACTTCAGGCTGTTTAAGAACCTTCCGCAGTATAACTATCATAGAAACTGAACTTGGTAATTACAATCCGGCTTAACTGCAGTCTAGGGGGAACCATATCCGGGTGACCTCTTTAACCTGAATACAACAGTTTACTTGCTTTGTTTGTTTGGTAGTTTAGACTTGCATTCCAGTTTCATTGCTAGATAACAAGATCTCACTGAGTAGTCATCAAATCTAGGACCCGGGTTGATAATGAAACCCAAACCCGCTATACTACGCTTTAGGAAGTGGTTTCACTTGGCCAATTCCTGGAGTGACAGTAGAGTCGAGTCAAAGCTCCAAGGCTAATATTCCTCTCTGGAAAAAAATTCCCACCAAGTTGTTTCGATTGGCCACTCTCCCCTCATCAAGTTTCATCTCTAAATCCCACTCCCCCGTCTGGTTAATCAACTCATTCACATTCATCTTTATGGAAATATCTTGCTCGGTATTCAATATGCTCTTGGTGGTGAAGTTTATTGCTGGGTATTTTGGTAGGTGAACTGCTGGGGTTTCCTCTTCTCTTATAATGCCTTTCTTCCATCCATTCTCCATGTTTAATTTTACAGGACTTTGTGGTTGGAGCGATTTGACTAGGATTTAAATGAGCGATTTGTGGTTGTCAAACTGGTTTATACTAGGGATGACAATAGGTCGGGTTGGGTCGGGTTTTGTCAAATTCAAACCCAAACCTATGGGTTTATCCGTGAGAAAAACCTGGGGTAAAACCCACTGGGTTTGGAAAACTCAAACCCAACCCACTGGGTATCCGCGGGTTCATGGGTACCCATGGATTTTTGTCATAAAAAAATTTACAATAACAAGTTTCTATCAAAATAAAATTCAAATATCAATTTCTCAATACAAATTATCCATATATAAAACACCATTCTAGAAAACTAAAGAAAATTGAAGCAAATGAAAAATTATTCATAAACAACATGATTAATTGAAAGCTTCCTCCTTCTTGTAAATTAAGCTTCTTCACTCTCCACTCCATAATATCAACTTCTTTCTACACAATTAGAAAGAAAAAATTAGACATGTCTTCACAAACATAAAGAAGATTAGTTGTTTAGAATATTAAATATAGCGAAAAAAGTAATTATATGGGTGTGAACGGGTATCCATGGGGCGGGTATACCTATACCCAAACCCAACCCAACCCAACCCGATGTATAGTGAATGAGTTTAAACCCGAACCCGACCCAAAATTCGTCAACACGGGTTTTACCCGCGTTGACTGGGTTGGGTCAGGTAGGTACCCGTGAACAATGCAGTCAAAAGCGCGATTCTACCTAGAAGCGGAAAAGGGGTAAAATCGTAAAGCATAGAATTAAAGCGTAAGAGCGTAAGTTTTTGACGCATAGTGTAAAATAACTAAAAATCTGTTAAGTACAACATATACTATTTAAAATATGAGTGCACATAATTTTGATAAGTTAATAAATAGCTGCAATTCATGTCTAAAAAAGAGCAACTTATAGCCTCTTAATAATAAGTCCATAAACATAAATCTTAACAATAAACCACCTTCCCCTCTATGCTAATGAATTTGGGAAGAGTCTGGATGGTGAAATTAGATTACTCTATTGAAATTGAGAATGCATCCAAGTACCTAGTATGTATCTTTTAATATCAAATGTATCATATTGTTGGTGATTTACCTTTAAAATACAATTTTTATAATTCATTTCATGAAAATAATACACATTTAGTGAACTAAAAGCGTAAAGCGTTTTGGTGAACTAGAAGCGTAAAAGCGTAAGTTTTTAAGCTTTAAAGCGCAATTTAGTCCAATTTTATACACTAAGTTTTTACATGGAAACGAAAGCGTTTTGGTGACCTAGAAGCGTAAAATCGTAAATTTTTAAGTTTTAAAGTGTGATTTTGACTGCATTGCCCGTGAGTTCGGGTTTTGTTGCCATCCCTAGTTTATACCGTTGTGTCGGTTTGGCAAGTGAAATAGTACGACCAGAGATATAACCAGTTTGTGCCGGTTTAAAAAAAATGAAAACGATTAATATCCAATGTATTTAATCATATATAAAACACATTTGTGGACAATTTACTTACAATCCAACAAATACTATTAACTTTTAACTATTAAATTCATCAAAATTAATAATAAATCAATCTTTTTATGAATTAAAATAATTTTATTTTGCTTAGAATTTATTAGTCGCTCATGCCAATCTTACTGATTTAGTGACCGATTTAATGACCGGCACAGGTTGAATCGTCCGGCATGCTACCGACATGCCAACTGTGATATTCATAGAATTGAAATGGGCCCGCAGCCTGCAGTGACGAGACGCAGCGTTTTGGGTCGTTCGTCTCCTGTTCGCCTGTTCTTTCTTTCTCGAACTGTAAATTTTCTCATCTCGCAGATCTGAGCGTACCGGCTCACTTTGATCATCAAATTGTCAGAACCCGCGAACTTGACAGCCTTTTTCCACGCCGTCGGGAGAGAATTGTCTAGTCGAAGATCAAGGGCGGCGGGTTGATTTTGAATCTGAAGAAATGGTGGTGGTATCCGCTGCCCGGGATTACATCAACCGCATGCTGCTGGATATCTCCGGGATGAAGGTTCTAATTCTGGATTCCCAAACGGTAATTAAGAACATTCTCGATTCCGTTTCTTTTCGTTTTCCTCTTTGATCATTGTTTCGCCGTCGCCCAAACCGGATTTCATGAGATTGTGGCGATTTATGGATTCATGTAAGCTTGGAGCTGTAAGGCTGATCATTTTAGTTACTTGCATTGCTAGTCACCGTTGTTAAGCTTGTTAGAGCTGGCATGGTCTTTTCTTTCGTTTGATTGACGGTGCTTTTTCCTTTGCCATGATCTTTGTTTGTGTATTTCTAGACATTGGTTAAGCAGAACCGTACTACAAAGAGTAATTCAGGTTTTTATTTGAGTTTCAGGTCAGTATCGTAAGTGTTGCCTATTCACAATCTGAACTGCTTCAGAAAGAAGTATTTTTGGTTGAAATGATAGACACAATCTCGAAGTCTAAAGAATCCATGACACATTTGAAAGCGGTTTGCTTCCTTCGTCCTACATCAGAGAATATCCAGTATTTGCGACGCCAGCTAGCTAATCCTAGATTTGGAGAGTATCACCTATGTAAGCTATTAAAGAAGAGCTATGGCTCCATTCCCTTCTTCTTTTATCTGGTATTGCTTCCTGGAACTGATCTATTTTCCTTCAATTTTTGCAGTTTTCTCCAACATGTTGAAGGATACCCAGATTCATCTATTGGCTGACTCAGATGAACAAGAAGTTGTGCAACAAGTACAGGTAACAATTGCTTGTTCTTATTAGATTAGTAGCTTTGGCTTGCTGAACCCAGAAATCATTTGTTTGGATAAGTAGTTTCAGACAAAGTACAGTTCATGCTTGATCTAACATGCTGAGAAGTAGGCTCACCTTGCTCCTTTGGGCATCTGGCTGGTTTTTCTGCTTAGGGAAAAACTAGGTTAGAGAACTTTTTGCATGTTGTCTTACTTCTATATTTCACATCTGAGATATTCTGATTTTTTCTTTTGTAATCTGTGTTTTCTTTCTTGGAATGGCAAGGAAGGTAGTGAAATTACCACTTGAGAGAGGATGAGAGGCTGGTTTTAAATCAGGGCAAATTCATTAGATATGGAAACTGTCAGCTGTCGAAACTGAAATAATGTGCGAAAATCATAGTTTTCAGCCCTTTCGAAACCTTATTTTTTGTCGAAGTGCTTCAGTGATGAGAACGTGCACGTAAATGAACTAACTACAGTAGCAACACCGGGATTCCTATCTTTGGAGCAGTACATGCTTGGGCATTCTCGTTCCACAGCATTTCACTTGCTGTAGTTAAGCTGCTAGGCTGAAGCTGCAATCTAGCAACCACAATATTTGGAACTTGGATGCTGGATCCTGGAATATATGAGTGCAGTTCACATTTGCATTAATTATGAGCAGGAAATGAGTTGCTAGCCTGTCCTGATTTCTTTAGTTTCCATGGATCCTTGCCTCTTGTATATTCTTAACTATCAGGTTCCTCTGCATAGTGCCTATTCTTCACATGTTCACGAGACTATCTGATGTGATGAAAGTCAGTCATTCTATTTTAAGTCAAAACTATTGTGAGATTCAGAAAGTATAGACTCGTTTATACAATTATGTTGGGCAAATGTGATGTGTTGGGTTTTTACATGGATCACTTTGAAATGTTGTAGTGAATCCCTTTGTTACTTTCCTCTTTTGTTGGGTTGACCTTGACATAATTGTTCTACTTACTTTTCAGGAGTTTTATGCAGACTTTGTTGCACTTGATCCTTACCATTTCTCTTTGAATCTTCCTTCAAATCATATGTATATGCTTCCAGCAGTCATCGATCCTTCAGGTTTGCAACACTTCTGTGACCGAGTAGTTGACGGGATCGCAGCACTTTTCTTGGCGCTGAAACGAAGGCCTGCTATCAGATACCAAAGGACCTCTGATGTTGCCAAAAGGATAGCCCATGAATCAGCAGTGAGTGTGAATTTGATCTCAAAATTTGTTATGTTACTTGGATCAACTCAGGAACTGACTTTTTTAATATTCTGAGAGCATCAATTGACAAGTCTGATAGAGCACACGTAAGGATACTACACCAGATTTCATTGTTAGCATCATCTTGTAAAGACATGCAAACATTCCACTGATAATCTCTCTTTATCCAGCAACCATATCGGGTGCTGGATTGAATATCTGCTTCTCATCAATACTTAAGAAAATGCCAGGCCAATTAGCAAGCTGAATTGTCTATTCTGTGTTCTTTTTCCTCCCCTTAGTTGGCACGATATATGGATGGACAAATTTTGATGTTGGGTTATATATTCTTTTGTGATGTTGCAGAAGCTGATGTATCAGAAGGAAAGTGGCCTTTTTGATTTCAGAAGGGGCGAGCTTTCTCCTTTGTTGCTGATAATAGATCGAAGAGATGATCCTGTAACCCCTTTGTTGAATCAGTGGACCTATCAGGTACTGCAATTTGTCCCTGTGTATGTGTTTTTTGAGGTGCTCTTTTCTTATCTTGGATATTCATGTATGATGTTTGCAAGTTTATTTATGTTGGTGCCACTGGATATGACATTCTCCCCATGGTAATGTTGCTTGTTGTGTAGGCTATGGTTCATGAATTAATTGGTATCCAGGATAATAAAGTGGACCTCAGAGGCATTGCTAAAGCATCAAAAGATCAGCAGGTTAGCTCCTCTTGGCCCCAACGCAAGGGGAAAGAGAAAAATAAGATGTATTGTTATATTTCAGCATTCTCAAGTTATCTTTTTTTTGTGCTTTGCAGGAAGTGGTCCTATCGTCGGAGCAGGATGCATTCTTTAAGCTCAACATGCATGAGAACTTCGGAGATATTGGGATGAATATCAAGCGAATGGTGGATGACTTTCAGCAGGTTGCAAAGAGTAACCAAAACATTCAGACAATAGGTTTGTATAGACAATCAAGAAGCTGTTAACAACTTATTTTTGGTCATGCTGCTAGGTATGACTAAGGGAGTATGTTTTAATTTTTCAGAGGACATGGCCAAATTTGTTGAGAATTATCCCGAATATCGGAAAATGCATGGCAATGTCTCAAAGCATGTGACGCTGGTGACTGAAATGAGCAAGATAGTTGAGGAGCGAAAGCTCATGTTAGTTTCACAAACCGAACAGGAGTTAGCTTGCAATGGTGGACAAGGGGCAGCTTTTGAGGTAGTGTATTATTTTACCATTTATTTTCTCTTTGTGAGGATCAAGGAGAGAGCGTTAGGAAAAAGATTCAGTACAATATGGTCATCTAGAGGATTCCTATGAGATTTCACAATTGAGCTTTTACTGGATTCCTTAATTTAACACCATCACAGTCCATCGCCAATTTTGTTCATCCAAACATTTGGCTCTTCAACTTTTCACCAACTAATGGAATTGTAAACATAAATCGATCAACATAATCCATCACGCAAACAAGCATTTGGTAAAAATATGATCCCCTGCACCTTTAGTTCGATATTCAGAGTTAGTTTTCTGAAATAGAAACTATCATTGTTGCTGAAGTGAAAAGATGAACTTTAACTGATTCTGGCTGTGAAGGATATGAGGTTTCCCTGCAATATTTTCATCAGTACCTTTACCGGGGTAGTACGAGAAATAAGCTGTAATGCCCATATTCATATGAAACCCTACTCAGTATGTGGCATGGAATGAGTAATCTTAATATTTTAACTTCCTTTCCCTGTGTGCTGTGCAGGCAGTAACCAATCTTCTTTATAATGAGAGTGTATCAGATATTGACCGCCTGCGCCTAGTGATGTTGTACGCTTTACGTTATGAGAAGGAAAGTCCTGTTCAGTTAATGCAGCTATTCAATAAGCTTGCATCTCGAACTGCAAAGTACAAGCCAGGGGTAATGTGCACTATTTTTTATCTTTTGCAAATCAAGTGTCTGTGATATAAATGTAATTGACTAGGTCGTGGTTATTGTCTGATTGTTGTTGTTTTTTTTTTTTTTATAATGGTATTGTCTGATTGTTGTTGATGCTGTGCATTAAATGAGGGTTAGGTATAGTATGTTGTTTGCCAGCAGTGGTTGAGTATGCATACAAACTTATATTTGTATCAACCCTGGGACTTGCAGCTTGTGCAATTCCTACTTAAGCAAGCTGGTGTCGATAAGCGGACCGGCGATCTGTTCGGGACTCGGGACTTCTTGAACATAGCTCGTAACATGGCTCGTGGTCTGAAGGTGCAGAGCGGAGACATAATCCTCTTTCCGAAATCTCTTTGTTAATGACATCTGTGGGCTTATAGTTTTCTTTCTTCTGTTCTATTCCAGGGAGTTGAAAATGTATACACCCAGCACCAACCACTTCTGTTCCAAACAATGGAAAACATAATCAAGGGACGGCTGAGGGATGTAGACTACCCATTTGTTGGTAATCATTTCCAACAGGGGAGGTTCGTTTCTCAGCTCCTTTCCTTCTCGTATGCGATGTCAAGCTGAAGACTGAAACTTTATATTGCATAGAACACAAGATAACTAGATTAATCATCCAATCTCTTGCTAGTCCACTGTTTTAAGTTGCAAACTGAGACATAATCACATTCTTTGGTTAACTATCACCTATGGAGGAAAGAGTCTAATGTATGTTAGTATGTCTTGTTCCCTTCAGATGGACATTTCTACCGAAGCCTATTTCTCTTGTAGGTTCACATATATTCTTCATTTCTGTCTGATGTTACCCGGCATGCAAGGTTGGAATTAATGTTACAAAAAAGTTATTTTCTTTCAAATCCTTAGGATGAGATTTATTTGTGCAGGCCACAGGATGTGATTATTTTCATTGTTGGTGGGACGACGTATGAGGAGTCACGTTCTGTAGCTCTGCAAAATGCTGTGCATACTGGCGTTCGTTTTACACTTGGTGGTTCTGTAGTTCTCAACTCCAAAAGGTATGATTTTCTTAAACCACATTCAGATGGGTCTGTGCTTTATTATCTGCTAGTAAAAAATAGATTGAGAGATACACAAGAGTTATATTTCGATGCCAATCATCTTCTTCGGTCTTGATCAGATACTGTCATTTGCTTATCAGTACGTCTTATTAATTGTGGTGTGGGGGAATGCAGGTTTATAAGGGACCTGGAGGAAGCACAGAGAATAGCTAAATCTAGCACAAATGCCGTTTGAAAAGTTTTACTCCCACCTTCATTTTAGCCCCTTCTCATTCATGTAAATAAACGAAAAGAGGAGTTGAGGCCATGCTGGTTATGGAGAGGAGGGTGGGTTCTTGCTGTTAAGCTTTGAAGAGGGGAATGAAACAACGTTTCTCATTAATTTCAACGTTAGTATCATTAACCTGGCCGACGATATTATTAGAAGAAACTAAGGTGTAACCTACTACCTATCATAGGAGGAAAAGAACATTGTAGTTTTGTCATGAGTAATGTGTAATTGTGTATTACTATCGTGGTATCAAGTACAGTTACTGCAAGCTTCTTTATCTGAACAGTCTGCTCTGGAAATGTATAGCTATAGTGGGATTCTAATTGCGGTTTACTTCAGCGTTGAAATATACATCAGGGCAAACCCGACGATTAGAAAAAAAAGACCAAGTTACTCAAACTGAAACAAAGCAAACAAACCACAACCTCATCATAAACACTGTGTCTTAGTGGCGAATCCAGAAATTTTACGTAGGGGTGTACTCTTCTAAAAGGTAAAGTAAATTAATAAGAAAATAATTATTAAAGGAGAAAATATTCGATTTATGCGAATTACAACAAAGCACATGATGTGTTTCATATTTTGAAGAAATTCTAAATTACTTCGGTGTCCAACACTGCTCTACAAATCTCTCTTGATATATCCTACTAGACAAGAGGAGCCCGTAATTATGTTTAATCATTAGCTTTAGAAAATAATTGGGGATAAGAAATAGCTTTTTACTATTATATGTGGATTTAAAATACAAGAACAAATGAGTTGTAGTCTAATGAAAAGTATGTTTACAGATAATAGCAGTAACTCGAGTTCAAATAATATAGGCTACCACTTAAACTTAAATCCCTGCATGTATCCGCCAGTGGTCACACTGACATATGAACAAGTTCTGTTAGATAACTGTTTAGCTTATCGAGGCTACTCCACAATACTGTTCGAGATGGGCATCCATCGGTTCAGAATTAGATCGAGCCGAATTAGAATTGTATAAAAGAGTTAACAGAGAAGGCCACATCATCGGCCACGGCAGCAGCCACGTCGGACTGCTTTTAATTTATAACTTTAAAACATAAAAGTTTAGTTAGTATTACTAACGAAATTATTAACAGATATTTAACATTTGGGTAATAATTTGAAATTCCATAGTTGTGACCATAATTCCCCACTTCATAATAGTTGTGGCTAATATATTGTATTTACCCTTCTTTGATTAAACTCTAGAAATATGTTTGGTGATTATGCTTCTATATTTATATTTTATCTTAAGTTATTTATATTTTGTAATACGATATTAGTTATGAAATCGGAAATCAAGTAACATTGATTCAAATATTAATATTAAATTTTTTATGTAGTTTAGTTTAGACAAATTACAGAAGTGTAACAAATACATGAGCCTTTATGACGAGTATATTCATTTTTGTGTCAAATATACACATAATATAATGAAAAAATTGGAAAATAAGAGTCTCATTTCAAATTTTGTGGTCTTAGAGTGATCCTAAGAAGCTTTTTTTGTCATTGCGCCCAATTTATTTTTATATTATGTTAGATTGTCACAAAAACTTACTATATTTGTCACAAGGGTCCATGTTTTAGCTACACGTATGTATTTGTCTAACAGAATCATACATACAATTTAATGTTTAATGTTTCAATCAATATTACTTGAGTTCCAATTTCAAAATTAATCATTTTCTATAAGATATAATAATCTCAGGTAAAATACATTTCATACTTGGTTGAAGAAGCTCTTTCTATAAGATACATTTAGTGTTTTAAGATTTTCCATTTCCAATTTCTTGAATTGTGAGTGAAAATTGGAAAAGTAAGTTTGTCATCACAATTATTTATCTACTTTCTATAAAAAAAGTATCAATATCAAGATTAAATGAGTTCCGATTTCACAATTTAATGTTTTTCCATTTTCAATTTAATATTTAATGTTTCAATCAATATTACTTGAGTTTCGATTTCACAATTAATCATTTTCTATAAGATATAATAATCTCAGGTAAAATACCTTTCGTACTTGGTTGAAGAAGCTCTTTCTATAAGATACATTTAATGTTTTAAAATTTTCCATTTCCAATTTCTTGAATTGTGAGTGAAAATAGGAAGAGTAAGTTTGTCATCATAATTATTTATCTACTTTCTTTAAAAAAGTATCCATATCAAGATTTGAACCATGGTTCCTTCAAACAAAAATAATAATAACAACCAATTATGATAAACAAATTTATTTTATCTTCTTAAATTGTAAACATGCACTAAACGAAGATTTAAAAAGCAGAGGACATTTCCATCACGGTTAGCTAGCCTATTAAATCTTCTAAAAAGCAAATTTTATTACGTGATTTATAATTTTTTTATAACCTATACAATTTCAGATAATCTTAAAATTGCAACCCATATTTCATGGCTTGAAATAATGCATATCGAATTACAATATTGAATATTCCAAAGCCATGTAGAATTCTGTAAATTAACATAAATTTTCATAACTAATCTGAAGTAATAATATCTTGTACAAACTATAGGTGAATGGTTCTCTAAAATTTTAGCCTGATTAATTGCTAAACATTAAACCTCTTGCTAATCTGACATGAATGAACCTACCAATAATGAGACGATATTGAGTTTAATGTGATGTTCATTTCGCCATTTCTAGATGTGTTAATCAATTTATAGGGAATTAACGTATAAATGAGTTATAATTAACCTCATTATACAATTTTTAATCTTTATAAGTATTAATTTAATTTTAATATTTGTGATGCTTGAAATATTTTATGTATGATTTATAGGTATACTTATTATTTGTGACATTAATGGTAGTTGGTTCAAATGTAGTAAACTTCACCAGGTAGTCAAAATCGAATACTAGGTGCATTTATGACTTTTTTTTATCTTGGTGTTGTGAATGTGTAAAAACTTAATTATTAGAATGCATATAATTACTCATAGGCACATGGTCGAGCTAGCACGACACAGTTAGCGCATACCATGAAGATAATATATGTGGATCAGGCCTTTACAAGCATGAATGCTTCATGGGTCGTACTAGACTTAAACTCCAAGGCTCGCGCACAGGTGCGAGCACCACACAGTATATATTGGTGAACTCATGTTTAATGGAGAAATGCGCCATTTGATAAAATAAGATAAAATATTCTAAAAACAACATATAAAATTTGAATTTATGAGTAGTTTTTCACATCAACGTGTGACGGCTCATATTCTAAAAGGTTTATAAAATATATTCATTGTTGATTAACGGCTCAAATCATTCTTGATCAACTTCATAGCTAAAAAGTCTTTTTACAGCTTGCAGTAATAACAAACAATGTCAACAGTAACTTTAGAAGCAAGTAAAGTGAAGAAATTGGGATTTAGTATCTCTTTGCAAATGTGTGTTTTTTTGGGGGGTTGGGGGGAGTGGATTTTTTTGCCTAAAATTTTGAGAAAGGGGTTGAAAGTTGAAACTCATAAATTGAATAGGAGTATTGAACATTTGGAAGTGACATATAACTCTTAAATTAGTATTAAATTTTAGTTGGTTGACTAATAGCCTAAGACCTCTTGCTAATTTGACATGATTGGATCCAATAATCATAAGATGAGATTTAGTTTGATATGCTGGTTCAAAACAATTTTTATGTGTAATTATTTGTACGGCAAATACTCGTAAATAAGTGAAGATGAAACTGATTATGCATTTTGATTCTTTTGATAAATAAAATGGTTTAAGCGAAGAACTAACTATACACTCACTCAATTGGTTTAACGAGTGTTGTATTTATCACTTTTAGTAATTAGTTTATTCACAGGCTAGCAAACTACTTTGCTCCATCGAGGAATAAGCGACCATTTGTTTGCAAAGTTTTAGGTGCTCTGATTCACACTATCAACTGTGAATGGAGAAGAAGCATTTCGAACGCATAATTGGAGAAGTAATTGAGATGTTTCTAAGTTTCTCTCTATTCCAAGTGGTGGGAAGAAAGAGGAAGGGAAGGGAAGGGGGAGAGTAGTGAGATACAAAGCTCAGAAAGAGATGGAAGAACAAATGAAAAAAGAAAGAGGAGGCAAAACAGAGTGAGATGACACATTTAAAAAGAGGGAAAAATGACGTAGTGTGAAATAATTTTCATTGTCCTTTGCTAAGAGGATGATGTTATATTTGAAAGATATTTTCCACTTCAATAAAAAATCCTAAATCAATATTATCATTTGGATGACTTTTTCCCCTTAATACGAGTATTGCAATTTCTGAGATTTAAGGTGTATTTGATAAAGTCAACATTTTAGTAGTTCTTATTGAAGTTTGAATTAAAAGATCGTACGTATCGGCGGTTCGACCATAAAACTTCACACCATAGGGTAAATTGGTAGGTGATATTTAGCAATATGAAATGGTTGAGCCACAGTTAAATTGTGACTTCAGTATAAAATACTCTACAACCAACTTTTTTTATACGATTTTACAATCATTTGGTTCAAATAATTCTTTTACACTGATAGAAACAAAAGTTTTAAGGCACATTTTGAACAATCTATTGCAAAATAAACATAAGCGAGTTAGCGATAACGAGAATATGCGATCTCATTCAACCCAAATGATACTTTGCAACTTATTATCTTTTTAAAATAAATGCATGCTACTCATACCCTCACTCATTCATCAACGTAATGAGTAACATATATTTCATGTAATATAATTTTCATAGGTTTTTATTTATTGAATGATCTCATGAAAAAAATATTTGCTCCATGAAAATTATTACATTGTTGCTAGACATGTCTGTGATCTGAGAATAATTTGGGAAGTTCGTACACAACGCATTTTCCAACTAACTATTAGCGACAACTTAACATCATGTCCTATATATTTCAAATCAAGCAACTTCAGATCCATTACCAGCTGTGTGGTTAAAAAAATGCTCTTTATTGGGAAAAACTTAAAGGACATACTAAACTCTATGAGAGATATTTTCTTTTATCCTAAAGGTTAATTATGTATGTACTATGAGAAGCAACTGTAATATTCAACTATATGATTTAATTAAATAATGAATGACAATTAGTTATATTTATTTCTTTTTCCATTCAGTAATTATATGTAATACTTATATCATTTTTTCCCTCTTTTCATGGAGGTCTAAACACATTATGCATAGTTGAATTGCTTTAAAAATGTTATATGCATAACTAAGGTACAAAACAATCATTTTATATATTTTAAATATTATATACATTATTATATGACATATTCCTCGACTATATTCTCCCGGCCAACGGACCGGGTCCTGTGCTAGTCAATAATACAAAGAATAAGCTATTGTGATCGTATTCATTTCGTTTACTCTTGTACACTTAGTTGGTTGACCTGATATCTAAACATACGTAATTATAAGTTTGATTGTGTGAATTTGATGATCACCAAAAGGCATCTCTATATCTAGTGTTTCGTTTTTGGCTAAATGGCAAGTTTAGTCAATAGAATTACTTAAAATTTTCACGTTTGCCACTAAAATTAATTTATTTCATCCATAGTCATTTAAATTAGGTTAACAATTTAAATTTGGTCACTAATCGTTAGTCTCCGTTAACTTTTGCTGATGTGGCGATCAACTCTTATAGTTGATCGTTAAATGAGTGGCGTGACAATTAAAAAATAATAAAAAATAAAATATAATCTTTCTTAATTTCCACCTGTTCTACAGTAACCAGGGTGAAATCCAAGGTACCGCATACCTTGATAAGAAACGCTATCCAGAACTTGAATTGACTAATCTTTCGGACATGATATTATACTCTAATCCTTAAAGATCAAAATCTAGGTCCTAATTCTCTGAATCTGATACCCCAAGATCAATTTAATTAGAAACAATAATCGAAATTTATGATTCGTCCAAATATAGGCAAAAAATCAATGCATCATCTTAGGGTTTATATTTTATGATTTAGATAATTAGGACCTAGGGTTCACTCATTAAGGGTTAGGGTATAGTATCATGCCCAAAAATCCTACTAATTTGAGGTCTAGATAGCGTTTTCATACTCAAGGTATGCGGTACCCCGGATTTCACCCGAGGTACCGTAGAAGGCACCAGATATATATATATATTGCAATAAACTAAAATTAAAAAATAATTACCACCGGCTCCGCCTACGCCGACTGTCCTCGCCCAAACCCTCCCACCAATGCAATTTCACACCCCTCCCTCGACCTTTCTCTCAAACACTCCGCCGCCGTCGCGAAATAGGCTCCGACCATTGCTCCCTTACGCCACCGCAGCATAAGTCTCCCCAAGCGTAGCTCCACCTTCAATCCACGCCATCTCGCTCCTCGAATCCACCGAAACCCATTCAACCTCATCAAATCCACGAACACAAACTCCCCGCCGTCCCACACTGACAAAGCCCCCTCGTAGTTGTGCCCACCGACCTCACTCTAACCTCCGCCTTCCCTTTGCAGCATGTCACAACTGCGACCAACTACTCCGCCATCGATGAAAGAAGTTGTAGAAAGAGGTTGTGGTTGTTGGTGAAATCTCAGGTAATTCACACTGAGTGTTCTTTCTTTATCATTCTCTACTTATACAAGTGTGGTATCGGTTGTGTCTAACTATCTGGAGGATTTACAGGGATGTGTTGCTACAGATGTGGAACTGAAAGTAGGAGTGACTGCAATTGATCCAGATGGGAGAGTAGATCCAGAATTGGTAGAAGTGGCAGAGGAGGAAGTGTCAGCCGATATGGTAAAAGGTAGGGGATAGATAGGGAAAAAAATTTGGTTATTGGATGCAGATAGGAGAAGAGGGAAGATTGGTTTTGCCGTTTAGGCTTTAGGCTCTAATACCATGAAATCTCAGGTAATTCACACTGAGTGTTCTTTCTTTATCATTCTCTACTTATACAAGTGTGGTATCGGTTGTGTCTAACTATCTGGAGGATTTACAGGGATGTGTTGCTACAGATGTGGAACTGAAAGTAGGAGTGGCTGCAATTGAGGAACGGCAAAACAGAACAGGCCGTGTGACCCGCTCTATGCCTTATCAGTTGGGTCGTCGGTGGTGGACGACGGGAATGTGGTAAAATTGTGGATTTGATTTTGGAGGAAGCATGAAGAGAGGAGAAATCGGATGTCTGCTGTGGTGGGAGGGGAGAGCGAAGTGTGAATGTGAAGAGTTGAGAGCAGAGCAATAGTATTGAGTGGAGAAACAAAAGTGTTGGCAGCCATGGTGAAATTTGGACTAACATTAACCGACCTTTGTTTCTTTTTCTTCCCTTTTTCCCCCTGTTTTGGAGTTGAAACACACATGGAGATTGGAGAGGAAGGTTCAGGGGTTGAAACACACATGGGTTGTCGTTCGGTTCGATCATGGTGGATCCAGGACGCGGCGGACCCTCCCCTGCCGGGCAGTTCGATCTAGAACTTGTTCTGGTGGGCGACGGCGGCGGCGGACGAATCGAGCGCGGAGCTGGCGACCCAGATGAACGACACGATCGGGCTCTACAAGGGCGACTAAGCGTGGTCGCTGTAGGGGAGGAAGGGTTCGAGGCGATCTCAAGCTATTTCGAGCAGCTAGAAGGGCTGTTTGCAGGGGAGGCGCCGGACATCCTGGCGGTGGAACGACGACGACGGTGGAAAATAATAATAAAGGAATTAGGATTTTTTTTAATTTTTATAATAATTAGGTGAAAAATAAAAAAAAAATTATATTTTATTATTTTTTTAATTTTTTAATTGCCACGTCACTCATCTAACGGTCAACTATAAGAGTTGACCGCCACATCAGCAAAAGTTAACGGAGACTAACGGTCAATGACCAAACTTGAACTGTTAACCTAATATAAGTGAATACGGATGAAATAAATTAATTTTAGTGGCAAACTTGAAATTTTTAAGTAATTCCAGTGACCAAACTTGCAATTTAGCCTTTCTTTTTTTGGGGAATGAAAGGTGAATCGCTTTCTGCATTTAGAGTCATTAAATTCGAAGCCAACTTCCAAACTCACCTATATACAATGGCGGACCAAGAAATTTCTCATAGGGCTGTCCTCTTTAAAAAATAAAATAAAATAAAATAAAATTAATAAAAATAAAAATAAAATCGTAAATTAGAAAATACCTTACTCGTACAGGTTAAAAAAAACTCATGATGTGTTTTCATATTCGGAAATAATTGTAGAATACACTTGGTGTCTACAGTGTTAAAAAAAATCGTCTTTATATACTCTACTAGACAATCATTCACGAACTTATCGCATATTCGATTTGTAAACTTGTTCTTGATGAAACCCAAAGCTTAAAGACTCTTTCAACACTTGGCGTACAACCATAAAATCAATACAAATTAAGGGTAGCTTGAAATTAGTTTAATTGTTAGGTTTTGAAAATAATTAGAGATAGAGAATGACATTTTACTATTACACAGTGTTCAAAATCGAAAAACAAATAAGTTGTAGTTTAATAGAAATTAAGTTTATTAATAATAGTAGTGTTCTAGGTTTGAATTACTCAACCTATCACTTATATTCCCATACGCAAATTTAAAAAATGACAGTAGGACAATCATTTTTCAAATTTCAGGGGTGTCCCTCACTATCAATTATGATTTTTTTGTCCATACGTAAATTACCACCAATGGTTGGATAATCGTTTTCCCAAAATTTAGGGGTGTAGCGGCTATATATATATATATATACACGAATCCTTTCTGTAAATGATCGATCAATGATAGTGTGCAGTAGTAGATCATAGTATACTTTAGCAATAATGGCTGCACGTACGTATGCATGTCAATTAATGCACAGTAATTAATATTTTCAGGTCAACGATTGAACCATTTCCCCAGATACCACTTAAGCTCAAACCTCAGCGATCAAACCCATACTGCAGAATTCAGATCGAGAAGTTAAGCTAGTTATACTAAACGTTAGAGAAAATCGATTTCACAAGTCAATGAGCAGCCTGCATGAGAACAATTAATGATAACAGCTAACAAAATTCTTAAGTTAACACCTTTGAGCAATATTCCGACTAACATTAGTGACATCCATCATCGTTTTTCAGAAATTCGCATCCAGTTACCACGCCAGTCAACTAACAATTAATATTCCCTAGCTAGTTATACACTCTGACACCAACCCCAGCCCTGAACATTATCGATAACACACTAATAGACGAACTATCCTCCGGATAAAGTGGCGGACTCAGGATTGTTGAAGAGATGTGTCGCCTAATGAAGGAGTATCGACGAATAATTATTAAAACAATGTAGGAAATCTCGTATTAATTTTTTTTTTACAATAAAAAGATAGGTTTTTCACAAAATTTTCAGGCGAATGGGTGTCGGACGACATCCCTTTCCAACAAGTAGGTCCGTGACTATCCGGATATATGCGCAAATCTTTGTCGAGTAAGCTTGGGATTAGAGCAGTGTTTGCAAAATCATATAAATGTTAGACGAGAAAAAACCACCTACCAGCATCCAAGTCGGTAAGCAGTTTTATAAATATAAATTGAAACACGATTAAACTACGAACATTGCATATATAAGATGCAAGCATCCAGTTATCATGTCAACCACCTAACAGTATTTCCTAGGTAGCAATGAACAAAATTAATAAAGTACTTCGGCAACCCAAATAGATAAACAATCCCAAAAACAATTCAAATCGAGGAAAAAAGATCCCCCAACCAAAAACAACAAACGAAACCAAACATCCATTAAACACAACTTTGGTTTGATCACTTGAGAGGAATGAACCTGGAAGAGTGAGTAGCACCATGGCCTGGCCTGCCGTGCTTAATGGGCTTGTAAGTAATCGAAAACTCAGCTAAATAGTGACCGATCATCTCGGGCTTCACCTCGATCTGGTTGAACATCTTGCCGTTGTAGATCCCAATCACGCTTCCGATCATCTCGGGGACGATGATCATGTTTCGGAGGTGGGTCCTCACCGGCTGCGGCTTCTCCCCCGGCGTGGCCTCCCTCTTGGCCTTGCGGAGCTTCTTGATCAGCGCCATGGGCTTCCTCGTCAGCCCACGCTGGAACCTCCTCCGGGCCCGGGCCGTGAAGAGGGTCACCAGATCGTCGGTCGACATGTCGAGCAGCGCGTCCAAATCCACGCCGCGGAAGCTGAATTTTTTGAACGTCCGGTTCTTCTTCGCCGCCGCCGCCATCTGGCCCGGGTTCACCAGAACCTCCTCCGACTCCATGTCCGCCTGCAAAAGGGTATGTAAAAACCATTCAGCATGATTGTAAAAGATGAGGAAAGTATAGAGAGAGGGGAGGGAGAAAGAGTGCGGAGGGGCTAGTGAGCACCATGATTGCAGATCTCGAAAGAAAAAATAAAACCCTAATCGGCTCGTGTCTTTTTTTTTTTTGTGTGTAGTTATGAATGGTTTCCAATTCTAGGTAGGGTTATAATTCTGGTGAGTATATATAGGGCGAGTTCGTGTGCCTTCGGGGGCCCATATTTCCATTTCGGGGATGAGGGTTTTTTAGTGTGAAACAATTACTCCACAACGCACGAGAAATATAACAAAGAGACTAGTCAGTTGGCCGGATTCAATCGCCAATCACATAAATAATCGTAGCAATTCGTGCGAGATACACCTTCCTTTAGTCGTATTTGAAAATCTAAATTATTCAATTACTTAAAACATTTCAATTGATTGATAGAATAAGAAGTCTAAATTATTTAAATACTTCAATAATTCAAACGATCAACATCATATTTTTTGCGACATTCTAATAACTCATCGACAACAATACTCTTACAAAATTTAAAGACAAACTCCATGCAAGGGAACCGACTCCTAAAGACGTTTTCAAATCACATTTTATTTAGGGCTCATTTACTAGTTGGATTTGAATATGACGGTTTTTAGTTTTAAAAATCTTTGGATTAATGATAGATTTGTTAAATTTTGTATTTGAAAGATAACATTGTTTGTTTAGTTGCCAGCCCTGTTTAGCCCGTTGACTCGGTTGATTAAGTGGGTTGAGGGTTAATGGTTCGTTCATTTTAGTCCGCTTTTGCCCGGATATATGAGTAAGTCATTATATTGTTCATATATTTATAAATTATATAAAATCTCATCTATATATGGATAATATTCTTCCTCGCCCGAACTATCTACATTTGTTTCTCTATCTGCTACTTTCCGCTATTTTGCAGTCCCCATTTAAGAACTTGTGGTGTACCATTTTCGTCTTTGCTCTCCAGAACTTTGATGGCACCGCATGTATTCCTTTCTCCCACGAAAAAGCGAGTCATAACTTATTTCATTTTACTTTGTTTATAGAAAGAAAAATCTCTCATATAAGTGATATATGAAATAAAATTTGCGAACTTTGATTTTCGATGCTCTAATTTTTTAGTTTGAGCTACAATTTCTGAGTTTTGGAAGTTTGTAGTTTCTGAAAAATAATTGTGAAGCAAAAATATCATTTCTACTTTCACTCTCATTGTAGAAAATTTGAAATGAGACAACAATTTTCTCATTTTAGTATTATATATTGTGTAGAGTATATATAAAGACATGTCATTTTCCTACAAATTCATTAGCACATTTAAAAAAGGTGAAATGAACCAAATTATTAAACTCCTAATGATTGTTGGATCCAATCATGTTAGAATAGGAAGAAGTTTAATATTTGACGGTTAGGCGAACTAAAATGTTCAAAGAATCATTCCCATATAGTTTACACGAAGATATGAATACGATTGTGTCATAGTATATCTAATTTAAGAATTATACACCACTTTTACATATAATACTCAATTTCGATATGGAATATTCAAACCAGTGATATTTGGGCCGTGATTTTAAAGTTATCCTCTATTTATAAGATATATATAGGAATTTAATTAAGTATCAAACAATAATTAAAATGAGGAATTTGGCCTCTCTTAGTTACACAAAGTTTTAACTCAAATTCATGTTTCTCTAATAATTTTTGCTTCTTATTTGTATGAGATGAGGTCGACCGGCTCTATGACTGTGCACCTGGAGAAAAATGAAATCTACTATTGCGGGATTATGATGGCTTTTGATATGGTTTGGTCTTGTTTCGTAGGCTCTTGAATCTAAAGCAAGAAGAAGAGACAATGGGATAGTCGAACCTGGCAATGCTTCATGTTGTGGGGTTCTGTGATAAGTAAAAGGATAATATGACATCATAGCTACATATATGATTTGTTGAAAACAACATCATTTTGAAGTGGCCCGGTGCTCGAATCAGTTTGTTAACTCGGTCGGATTTCCCGTTTTGATAGATAAACTCGACTTTGACCGAGCCCGAGTAGACAACCAACTGGGCCTTCGGCACCCGCTGAGATACTCAAGTTTAGGTAGAATTGGTTTGACCAGCAGAGTCATACTCGAATTGACAATCATGGTCATGACTCTTGTTGTCTGTGTTTGAAGATACATTAGTCAAATCCAATACTTGTCTATTTTCTATACAAAATAAAGATAAATAATGGCGAAGACAAAAATGTCATTCATACTTTTAATCTCGTTGTAGGAAAATTGAAATGGGACGACAATTTTATCGTGCCAGTAGTATATATTGTGTAGAGTGTATATGTAGACATGTCCTTTCTCTACAATTCATTTTAATACATAAAAAGAGGAAATAAACCAACTTATTAAAGTCAACCTCACTTAATGATTGTTGAATCCAATCATATCTGTCATATTAGGAAGATGTTTAGAACTTAACGGTTAGCCTGGCTAAAACGTCCAAAGAACTCATCCCCATATTGTTTGCAGAAAGATATGGATATGATTGTCTCACGGTAGTTCTATAAAGTAATACTAATGTAAGAGTTCAACATTGTTTCTACAAATTCGATATTGCAATTCGATATGTAATATTGAACCAATGATTAATAGAACTTTAGTGACCTTATAAGATAGATAGAAAATTATAAGATAAATAGAAATTTAAATTAATTATCAAAGTATTATTAAAAGAATAAAATATGAAAATCAAAGTATAAAAACACCAATAAGTACCGAGCGAAGATTTAGTGACCTTAGCTAACCATTGAAAAGTTCTGTTATTTTTTAATGTTAGCTTCATGTATGTTTTTTATTTAAAATGGTACAATTAATATATGTAGTTTGATAGATTAAGATTCTTGTCAATGTTGAAAATGACCACAGTCCAAATCCTAGTATGTGTTTCTCTTTTAAGAAATAAATGAGAAACAAATAGATCACTGTGAAGACAAAAATACCCTTCCTACTTTCACTCTCATTGCAGGAAAATTTGAATCCGTTCGAAATTTGTGTGAGAGATCCGGATTTTGACTGTATAAAGAATTTTAAGATGGGACTTCCGACACACCTTCGAAAATGGTAATCGACAAACTTTTATTATGTTATAAATAGTTGTTGTCTTAAAGTTATTAAAATTGTAAATATATAAGTTATTAGCCTTCAAACTAGGTAGTTGAATTAGTTGGTTGTACGAGAGTAAACAAGTAATTGACTCCTTAGTACATAATGGTATTTAGAGAGTTACCTATCATCTTAAAGATAACCTCGGTCATTTGAATGAGGATTAAATTGATTAATAAATGGGTTGAGTTAAGTAACTAGATAATGAATTCCAGGTCGTCTTTCTCCACATCTTCTTTTTGTAGATTTTCTTATAGTTAATTTTCAACTTAATTGCTTTCTAGTTTAGTTATTGTGTTACATTTAATTTATATAAAATCACTTTTTTCTTTTCGGTTCCTTAAATTTATTCATTAAATCTATAGTTATTGTGGTAATATTACACTTGATTTTGTTGCTAAATTGGTATTTTTCTGTTGGATAGGTTGACCTAATTGGTTCTGGTAGTGACAAATTGTCTTTAAGGTCGACCTAGTAATAGGTCAGGTCGACCACATCTCTGGTTTTGGTCAATTGTCAAAAAATTGAAGTTGAATTGTGATTTGAATTTTCTTTAAATTGTTTAGACAATGGCGCATGATGAGAAACAACAACACGATTTGGGTGAAATCATGAAAGTGTTGAAAGCCACACAAAAGCATCTGGTGGTGTGTCAAAAAGAATTCAATGACTATCAGAAGTTCATTCTTAATACAGTGGAGCAATTGTCAGTTCGATTGACAGATATGACTGGGATGATGCAGGATAGTTTTGAGAGGCTAGAAGGTGCTATCAAAGAAGTACGTGCAGAACGAATGGAGAATAGAGGAAGAGATGGTAAAAGAAAGAAATTTGACTTTGATAAAGAGGAGGAAGACCATGATAACTCTGCAAATTGCTACCAGAGCATAGACGATTTATTGAAAGAGTACAAGTTAAAGGTAGACAAGTATATTCACATGTGAGTGAAGATATTAGTATTACTATCATTAGTGCTAATTTGTTTTGTTTATATGATTGGCAAAGTGAAACAACGTTTGGCAGCAAGGGTTCCTCTCCTAAGTACAAGAAACCACGATATAAAAGTGACTCCACCACTCCAAATAAGGATTTTTAGTAAGAAAAGGATTGTTTAGCGTTGATAGCAACGAAGATGAATCTAAGAGTCCTTTTGAAAAGTACGAACTAAGTTTACGTTACATATTCATCTATAATGTGTGTTTGTTTTCATATGTAACTTTAATTTTAACTATGATTTGTAGGAAAAAAAAAAGTGGAGGGCCTAGAAGGATTCATAAAAAATTTGCAAAATCCAGTTGAAAACTTGTTTTATGTTGTTACTAAAGAGAAGGCTTGAGACACGAATTGGGACAAGTAAGAGACGTTTTATTTTATTTTTAAGTAGTACATGTGGTCGACCGTTTAGCCAATGAGATCGACCATGCATTCCTAAATAGGTCGACCTTGACTGCGAATAGGTCGACCAATACTGTGCAAATCACAATTGACATTCCTGTTATATTGGTTTTTGCAGTTTGACCGTTGTTGACTTTTTTTTACCGAAAACGTGCAACGACAATATTTGAGTTCGGTCATTAGCGAGAGTAGCTGGATTTGCTCATCTGTAAGTACCATACTGCTACGGCTTTCGTATGAATTGTGCACTATTTATGTTACGATTTATGAGGATTTTGTGGTTGATTGTTGGTTGGTAGGTAATGGATTTGTGTGCAAGAGCACTAACAATGTATGAAAAACATGAGAATAAAGAGCGAAATGTGTGGTGTTTGCCAAATATGTTTGCGGTAAGAGCCGTAATTTTTATTTATTTTTCATAACCTAGTTATTAATATTGTACCATGTCAATTAATTTCGATAAAAAAAATGGTGCAGAAAATGTTACGCGCTAACATGAAGACCAAACAAATTCGTAACAAGTTGATGGATGATGTCGTGGTGTTTTATGTCGAATGTTAGTGCATGCCAGAATGTTAGTCAATGTCCCTATCTCATTAAGCTTCC